CTTTGCGCGAAATTCAAAACAAACAAAACAAACAAACAATACTTACATGTATATTTCATTGTGCCATGTGTATCTGTAGGGCTTTTGTTTCCATGTTTTTCTACCCCTGTTTTAACCTAGAAGTGGAAAGGTTTATTGCCCTGTAATTCTTCCTCACTACTACATTTTGTAGTTGTAAAAAATATGCATCTACAACAATTTACTATAAGTGGGAACAATGTCACATTGAACAACAAAGGGGAACAACACTACATTGACACAACAAGTGAGAACAATGTTATATGGAAAAAATCATTGACCTGCCAGAACTTTTAATGTTATTTATTTTATTATGTCTCCGCAGAGATACGTACTGTTTTTCTATTCTTTCTTTCTTTCTTTTTCTTCCAAACACTTTTCAATTGGCTTCCATTCTTTAATTTTTTTGGCAGATTGACTTGAAACTTAGTAGGGTTATAACTTGGTCCAATACACCCAGAAATCTTTTTTCATTTGGGCTTTTTCAGGGGTTTTATAGGGTCAAAGGTAAAATAACTGAACAATGTATATTTTGGCTTCTTTGTGGTCATGCTTACAACAGTCAAGACAAAAATTGTCACAAGTATAAATTTTAATGCACCCAACACATTGACATACAAAAAAATTAGATTTGCCCATTTTGGGTCATTGTGAGGTCAGAGTTCACAGAAAAGCATAATTTTAAGGTTTTTCAGCAATTACTTTGCCATATTTTGGCCAATTTACATATGATTTGAGACAAAGATACTTTTTTATAGGTTTGATACATATACATACAAAAATATGGGTATACCCATTTTTGGTCATTTTATGGGAGTCAAAAGGTTAAATAAACCAATAATTTTAGGGATTTTGGTCAATTACTTAACCTTGTTTTGATCAATTTACATGGAATTTTGTACAAAGATATTTTTCTGTAGGCAATATACATTGACAAACAAAAATGTTGGACTTACCCATTTTTATTAATTACAGGGGGTTCAACCACGGCCGTCTTATCGCATGGGCACACAGGGCAGTTGTCCGAGGGCCCCAAGATTCAATTTTGAAAGTAAAAATTAAGGTTCATATTATTAAAGTAGCAATGCTGTTAATGTGAAATCGAGGCCTCCTTACCTGGCTGGCACAGCAGCACTCCAGCACTTTTTGCATTTTTGTATACGTGTTTTTGCATTTTTATATACGTGTAATACAAGCAGTCCTAATGCAAATGTTCAAGAGTTGTTAAAAGTTGAATGAACTCTCAAACAGCTCAGAGTATGCAGCTGATATATAATAAACAAATAGCACCACCTCAGCCAGTGTTATTACTCCATGGCCTTATTATTAGCAAAAATACCAATGTTTTTCAGCAACCCGAAATTTCCCCCCATAGCATGGTTCAAGATCAGCCAGAAGATATGGTAAATATCATTTAAATTTTAGTTGTTTATTGTTTGGGTACCGTACTGTCCAGCCAAGTAAAGAACCAATTTCTTATAATAATAATATTAATGATTATGAAGTTATATCGAAAAGAAAAGAAAAAAAAGATACGCTAGTCTGTTCAAAGCATTCTAACGTTAGTCTCATTAGCCTAATGTATGTTTGTACAGTAAATGGAGCTTAGGCTTACCCACTTGTTTACACACTGCGTCATTTACAGTTTTATTGATCAAAGTATGCTCAAATTACACCACATAACTACAAAGTAAGTGAATAAATGTTCATGCTACATCATATTAGGCCCGAAGAGTGAATTTCATTAAACTTTTTTGAACCAAAAAACAAATTTTCATAAAAAAAACCGCCACTCTCAAAAAATCACCTAATTTGCATACAAATATCATGCAAATTAGCATGAAATTGATATTTATAGAAAGCTTAAGTTATAAGCTTTAAAATAAGTTACAATTGTCATTATGATATCTGTACACAAATATTTTTAAAAAATTAATTTGTAAATCATATAGTATTCGGTATAGGCCCAGGTTAAAGCTCAGGACATAATGGGTCAATATTTGGCAAATTTTTGGCTTTCAATTCATAACATTTGAGGAGCTTCCTGGACCCATAACAGGGCTTTGCCCCTGGACTCCACTAGGGATGTACTCTGTTGTACGCATGTGCGGTTCAGCCAAGGTGAAATAAATGTTTCCCAAACCGGAAACCCTCAAAGAATTGGCAACCCCAAAGAAAATTGCTTGCTCGACCCTTCCTTAAATTCATGGTAAAGGTGAATATGCACGACCACACGTAAATGCAGTGCTGTTACTAGGCATTTGTTTTTTTAAATTACTGTCCTCACCTGGGTCATTTGTGTATCACATTCGCGTGTCCAGATTTGAAATATAGCAATGAAGATAAACGAGCAAGAAAGTGAAGTGTGCGTCTTACCAGATATGATGGGTCAGCGGAACAAATACTTCTCCACGAAAGTGAAAAATTCAAGGTTGAAACATACCTTCCTATTCTGGACTCACTGAACTCTGACCTGACTAAATGTGCAGAAGCCTACAAAAGTATTGGAAATCTGTTTAACTTCTTCAGTCAGTTAAAAACAATTGACTGTAATGAGCTTAGTCAAAGATGTGAAAAAATTGGCTAATGCTTATCATGAATTACTCAATGAATGCAAGCAATTCAAGCACTACATTGTCCACGATGAAAAACGCAAGACTCTTCCAGACATGTACAGCAAACTCATTTCAGATAAGTTGAAATCTGTGTTTTCCAATGTTGAAATCGCACTCAGAATATTCATGTGCATGATGGTGACCAACTGTACCAGAGAGCATTCATTTTCCAGGTTGGAACTTACAAAGAATCATCTTCGCAGCACAATGGGACAGCAGCAGTTGAATCTGCTTTTCCTCAAAAACATAGACTTTCAACCAATTATAAAGCAATTTCCTGCAGTACATTGCTTTGCCGTTGGGGGGGGGGGGCAGTACATTGCTTTGCCTGGAAGCCTTAAATATTCTTAAGATGGCCCTGAGTTGAACATGCCACAAAAACATAATTTTAGGTGTTTTTGACAATTACCATATTTCAGACAACTTACATAAGATTTGGTACAAGGAGACTTTTTATAGGTTCCAAATAGAGGTATAAGCAATTTTGGAATTTTTGTCTTTTGCTCAGTTTTGCAGCAAGGAAAGCACAATTTGGGGTTTTTGTGAACTATTCATGTATTTCTCAACCAACTTGCATGGGATTTGGTACAAAGATAGCTACTTGCAGGTCCCAAACAGTGATCTAAACAGTTTTCAATTTTTCTGGTGTCAAAATTGGTGATGTTGGGATTGCATGGTGGAGACATGTTGCATTCATCCACAAATGTTGGCCTCTTTAATTTCTTTCATTTTTTCTGTTTAGATTGATATTGGTGAAAGAACATCTAGTTAATATAACACACCCAAATATATCCATTTCCTTGTTAGTATTTATTATAACATACCTAAATATGACTTAACAATGATTGATCAAAGTGTTCAGGTTTCCTTTCAGTCATTTTTTTACAGACCAAATTTAATAGCATACTTTAAGATCTGGTGCTTGACTTGCAACTTGGAGGTCAAGGGATCAAACCATTGCCCTTTCAGCTATTATAGTGTCAGAGTGTGATGATCAATCCCAATATTTATTGATAAAGAATAACAAAAGAATTAGAAATGGGTGGTGTTGACTTACTGCCTCACCTCTTTTCTGTCACTTCAATATTAGGGACAAGTTAGTGCAGATAGCCATCAAGCAATTTTACACAAAATTCAACAAACTATTCTGTATGGCTGGTTCTTTCAAACAGGTCCTATATACCTCCTGCTGTACAACCACGTTTATTGATAAATTGTACTCGATTCTTGTTCTTTTTAACAGATCCTCCAGTCTACTACTGTAACATTTGTAGTGATAATATTTTTTTCTACTTTATTTCTTAACAGATCTTGTACACACAAACTGCTGTGGCTGATCTAGAACTGTGGAGACGTAAGAAAGTACCTCTCACCTGGTCAGCGGAACTTACGGCTCTAGACAGCCATGCTACCTATTCTATCAGGGTTGCTGCTTATACTAAACCAGAGAGATTAGGCCATTTGTCTGAAGTAATCACTGTCACCATTGTCCCCACAGGTACAGGCACCCTTAGTTTTTAGTTTTTATAAAATTTTTGAGATTAATGAACTAGCTACTAACCTATTCTTGTCACTGTTTACTTCACAGGCATTATTGCATCATCTGTGCTCTTTCTTATTAAAATAAGTAACATTTTTAATGTCAGAAACATGAAAAAGTAATTGCTAAAAATATTGTCTTGATTGATTACATGTAATGTTGGAAGAAATAAAACCAATTTTAACGAATGGAAAGGTACATCTGTTTTGTTCTGAACTAGCTCCTAGTTTCATTTTTGTTTTGTATTTGAATTGTGTGCTGAAAGTCTTGTATTGTTTAAAATATACATTAGACTTTCTGCAGACAACTAGGAGTTAATAGCCAGCTATAAGCAACCATACTTGTAAAGCACAAAAAAAAAGACATTAAAACAACTGTTCCTAGAAAGACACATTAACATATAGAAATTACTGTGAATTATCATAAAATGTAAAATGTATACAAGTTTTATATGTTCTTGCTACAGAACCACTTGTAAAAAACTGATTAACTGGTGTGTTTCTTTACCCATTTTACTAGGTTTCAGTAGTAAATCTTGTTTGTTTTTTGTTTGAAGTTAAGCACAAAGCTACACAGTAGGCTATCTGTGCTCTGCCCATCACGGATATCAAAACCCGGTTTTTAACGTTGTAAGTCCGCAGACATAAGAAAACCTTATGTAACATTCTACTCACCCAGACAGCCAAATGAAAAGAAAGGATTAAAATATCAAAGTTTAGTTACCAACTCTATTGAATGTCACTAAAATTGCTCATTTGGTTTTGTGTTTCAGATGTCCCTACTCAACTCCGAGCTCATGGCGTTACTACCCACAGTATGATTTTGTCTTGGCGACATCCTCAAAAGTTAAATCCCATTCAGTATAAGGTAGGGCATTTCCAACAACAACAAGAAAAAAAAAGATAACAACCATTATCAACTTTGGCTTTCATGTGGGTTGAGCTTCATCATCTCCTGATAATTTTGTTTGTTTGTACAATAGCTGTATAATACATAAGAGTAAACAAATAACATGCTTCACTCATAAGTATTTTAGAAAAAATATCATTTGGAAATCAGTTGTCAATTTGATATGTGTTATTGATTTAAAACTGTGGAATTGGTAAAGGCAGAATCACCTAACCTTATTTATTGACTTTCTTACATCTGTTAAAAACGGAACTATACTGAAGATCAAAACCTCGTGTTTTAAATATTACTCTCTTAAACCTGGTTCATGTACTTTGTTACATTTGTTGAAAATGAAATATGTTGGAGATGAAAAGTTCATGCCATATGTGTTACTTCAGTCTAGCTAGAGAACAAATAAGGGTAGGTTACCAAATCTGGTTCTTGTACAGTGTTTCATGTGAAATGAAATATGTCAGAGACCAAAGGCCTAGGTCTTACTGTTTTGTAACTTGAGAAGGGTAAAATCATGAACCTGATACATGCAAAGTGTTACATAATCTAATGCATGCTTCTTGATTTCAGATCTCTTTTGGTAGTAATGTAGTGCATGTTTCTTGATTTCAGATCTCTTTTGGTAGTAATGTAGTGCATGTTTCTTGATTTCAGGTCTCTTTTTGTAGTAATGTAATGCGTGTTTCTTGATTTCAGGTCTCTTTTGGTAGTAATGTAGTGCATGTTTCTTGATTTCAGATCTCTTTTTGTAGTAATGTAATGCGTGTTTCTTGATTTCAGGTCTCTTTTGGTAGCAATGTAATGCATGTTTCTTGATTTCAAGTTTCTTTTGGTAAAAGTTTAATGCATACCTTTTGATTTCAGGTCTCTTTCGGTGGTAATTAACACATTCTTCTTGATTTCAGGTCTCTTTTGGTGCTCACAAAGAATTTCATGACAGTCAGAGGGTCCTTCAGACATTAACAATACCAACTCAGGCCATTTTCATTGAATCCAACAGAACTGAGTACAAGATAGATGACCTTATGCCATTTACCACATACCAAGTTAATATCACTGCCATACCCCCAGAAGGAAGCTACCGGCCTCCTGCCAAAATATCTGTTACGACAGCCAGAGCAGGTGAATATTATATTTTTGGAATTTTAATTTTCCTGTGCTTCTGTTGGTATATCATAATAAAATCCTTTTTTTTATTGTTCCAACCACTTTTATGTATAAGGTAAGACAGAATAATGTTTCATTGAAACAGCTCAACAGTAATTTTCCTAAAAATATTGATGAATAAATATAAAATGTGTAGACAAACCAATCCCTTGAATCAAAACATATATGAAATATGATTGTCTAGTGGGCCATTTACAACTGCCTTGTGTCGATTTCTTGCATTGTGTTTATTTTTAAGCAAAGGAGACTGACTGCAATGCATTGTTGGCAAATATGTTTGGGTTTCAATACAATGGGCACATCCAGCACAATATAGCACTCAAGTTTGCTAAGTAGCCACAGGGATTTTTTTCCAATGGATGCCACAATTCCTTGTCATATTACTGAATGCAAGGAAAGACTACTAATAAAGTGAGCACTTTTTTGACAGTTGTCATATCTATAAGAAGTGTCAAAGGTGAGATATTCCATTGAATTTAGATCAGTTTATTTGACATGGTACAATAAGATCATGGAAAAATATGTATATAAACTTAAGAACAACAAATATATACTTAAACATGTTCCCCTCTTTGTGCGTTTTTTCCAATCATGCTTCTATCTTCAAAATAGTTCTTTCAATCAATTGACAGTGAAAATCCTGTTTTTTCTCATGAAATTCTGTCACAAAGAGACATTTTTGTTTCTCAGATTAATTGTTCAGACTGATGGATCGATGTTGATATCAATATGAAATTTTATGAATTGCAAAAATTGAATAATTTTGCTTCAATGTACTCTTGAAGCATTTTGATATATATATATATTTGTTCTTCAATTAACTACTTGGGAGATACACAGTGTAACAGACAGACATATGGCTATTTTATATATAGATAACAGGGGTATAGTCTTAGCATGAAACATTTTTTTATTGCTATTAGATGAGTTAAATAACTTTGTAAAAAGGATATTACAGAAAATTAATATATCTTTCATATCAACTACAATGCTGTAATGTTATGTTATTTATATTTTTAATAAGTCCTTATAATGAAATAAAAAGATCTTAAACTGAAGAAAATGTACAATAATAAATTGAGAATACCAAATACTTCATCTGCTTGGTTCTAGCTAGATATCAATGTAAAAAAAAATTATTGTATTATTTTTAACTTATAATCATGTACAAAATACAAGATATCAGAAGCAATTTCATGGAAGTAAAAATTATTTAATTTGTTCTCTTAATAATAGACATTAAGGTTATTTAAGCTGTCTTATTTAAATAGCACCCAAACCTATGGTCAAGCCTGACACGGTAGGTGTCAGTAAAGAAAATGAGATCATCCTAATCCTTCCACAAGCATCAGAAGAGTTTGGGTTGATCAGTCACTACTTTCTGGTGGTAGTTCCAGCTGAAGAAGCACGTGATGATCCTGACACCTACACTATTGAGGAGGTAAATTCAATGACGAGAAGCCCACTTTTAGAAAATAAAGTTCAGGGATGGCTTGAATGGGTAATAAAAGAAATTTTACTACAAGTAACAAATGTACAGTGTTTTGTCAAATCCTGTGTCTGTGTAAATTACTTGTACCTGATGATGATAAAAGCTTGTCGAAATGTTGTACATTGGTTACTTGTAATAAAGTTTCTTTCATTACCCATTCAAGCCATCTCCAAACTTTATTGAGGAAGTAATTTCAGTTGGCTATTAGATTTACATTTAAAAGTAAAGGAGGAAAATCTTAATCATTCATTTCAAACCTTTATTTTGCTATATCAATAATTTAAGTTAATAGAAAGAAACCTTTATTTTGCTATCTTGTGTGTAAAATTAATAGACTTAAGATTTAAAGCTAAGTGAGAGTTAAGGGTAAAACTGATTGCTTGTGTTAAGAACATTTTAGAATAAATTGTCGTCAGAATTCAAATTTTAGAAGTCAGAATTGTTTTATGGACAGCAATAAATTCCAGTTCATATAACTTGCATAAATTCTATAGTTTTGTTAATATAGTTTGTCAAGTGGATTTTGGAGTGAGAAATAAACCAATTTTTGTGATACACTGATAAATCTTGAATGGTATCAGAAACTTGTATAATTATATAAGCCTCCCTCAAAACAAATGCTGCTTTTCTCAACAATTTAAAATATAATTAACCCACTAAACTATTCAATTATCTTCTTACTATTAAAATATGACTTCCACAAAAGTAACTTTTAAAAAGGCTTTTTTAATGTCATATTTCTTGAAGCAAGCTTAAAACTTGAGTTCCCAGATTACTTAATCTCTCTAAATTTATTTCTGTGACTGACATTCTTTTCATTTTGAATTTTCTTTCAGTTCTTTTATTAACATCCTTTCTAATAATTGTTTGATTTTTCAATTGTCATTTTTCTATTGTTATATGTTCTAAAGCAGAATGCTATACCCAATAATTGTCTTTAATATCCCTACAGCCAAATGACATCATTTTAAAAATTACATTTAATCAAATGACATGCTTCCAAATGTTTGTTATCCATTTGAATAATCAACTGTAATAAGTGTTTGTTTTCCAGCTGAACAGTGGTTTTAGTGTTCTATCTGTGTGACCTGTTTCCAGTCATAAATTGTTTGTTATTCCATATAAATGACACACTTACAATAGTGTATTTAGTTTCCATGTTAGTGTAACACATTTCTATCTGTTGCTTGTTTGTTTCACCTAAATGATGTTTTCAATAATTGCTTGTTCCTTTTCCAGTTGATTAGCATATATATTCAGATGTTGCTTTTTCTTGTTATTTCCAGTTGATTAGTGTATTCAGTTGTTGCTATTTTTGTTATTTCCAGTTGATTAGCATGTATTCAGTAATTGCTTTTTTGTTATTTCCAGTTATTAGCATGTATTCAGTAGTTGCTTTTTTGTTATTTCCATTTGATTAGTATGTATTCAGTAGTTGCTTTTTTTTGTTACTTCCAGTTGGTTAGCATGTATTCAGTAGTTGCTTTTTTTATTTCCAGTTGATTAGCATGTATTCAGTAGTTGCTTTTTTGTTATTTCCATTTGATTAGTATGTATTCAGTAGTTGCTTTTTTTTTGTCATTTCCAGTTGGTTAGCATGTATTCAGTAGTTGCTTTTTTATTTCCATTTGATTAGTATGTATTCAGTAGTTGCTTTTTTTTATTTCCATTTGATTAATATGTATTCAGTAATTGCTTTTTTTTGTTATTTCCAGTTGGTTAGCATGTATTCAGTAATTGCTTTTTTATTTACAGTTGGTTAGCATGTATTCAGTAGTTGCTTTTTTTATTTCCAGTTAATTAGCATGTATTCAGTAAATTGCTTTTTTATTTCCAGTTAATTAGCATGTATTCAGTAATTGCTTATTTTATTTCTAGTTGATTAGCATGTATTCAGTAGTTGCTTTTTTTATTTCCAGTTGGTTAGCATGTATTCAGTAGTTGCTTTTTTTATTTCCAGTTGAGTAGCATGTATTCAGTAGTTGCTTTTTTATTTCCAGTTGATTAGCATGTATTCAGTAGTTGCTTTTTTATTTCCAGTTGATTAGCATGTATTCAGTAGTTGCTTTTTTTTATTATTTCCAGTTGAATAATCTGGATACAAACAAACCAAGGCCATACATCGCTGCTAAGTTTTTACCACGTGACATGCCTAAGAACTTTCCTCTGGGTGATAATAATGATTATGGTGGCTACAACAACAAACAGCTACAGCATAATCAGAAGTACAGGATTTTCATGAGAGCTGTAGTTGATACTCCTCAAAAGGTAAAGACTTTTATTAAATATGGTTGTAAGATTTTAGGAAATACATATTGTGAATACATTTTGACATTATTAAAAATAGAAAATAATACTTACTTGTCTATTTATTTGAACATTAATGAATAATTTTCCATTCCAAGATTAACGTAGTACGTGTGCTAACTTGCATGATTGTTTAATTCTGCTAGTAACTGTAACAAGTTTCTTCACCTAAGTTTTACCTCAGATTTGCATATATAACAGTCAAAGGCCAGAAGATCATTAAAGTGAATATCTTAAGGTACTTCTGGTAATGTTTTAAATGAACAAGCTATTTCTAAACCTCATCCTTTTTCCTCTATTGCTAACTAAAGTAAAGAGGAAGTAGTGTTAACAGAATGGTGTACATCATTTTTCTTGAAGTTCTTATTGTATCTGTTATTTATATATATATATTGGGTGTTATTTTAGAATTTATACACCAGTAGTCCATTGTCTGATATCTTGAGCTTGGACATGGTCTTGTCTGGCCAGTCATCCCTTCCTGGTGCTAGTGGTGGGGACAGAACAAACAAAATGGATATTCATTTGGACAGTAGCACCAATGAGTCTGGTGTAGTTTGGGTGGTTGTTCCTATTATCCTGTGTCTATTGTTTATTTTGGGCATCACTATCTTCATCATTGTTAAAAGGTAAAAATTTGATTTATTATACTTAACGAACATGCCATTTTAACTGTTAAACCAATTTTTTTGATTCAGTTACAGTGTAGAAATTTTCTTTAATGTCTGAAGCCTCTGAAACATTTTTTCTACTGGGAAGGTGTAATGGTCTTTAATACCTTTGAAATACATGATGAAATACCCAAATTAAGTAGTTTCTGAAAAGTTTGACAACTTGTTCTTTGAAAAAAAGGAATCTACCTTATCTTTACCTGAGTTTGCATTATGAGTTATTCATTACTATATATTATCACTTGTTTGTGACTTTGCATTATCACTTATTTTTCCCTTGTTATTTATTTATTTATTCTTGGTTTTGTTTTGCACCCTTTTTTTTCAGTTTTTGCTGATTTTAGCATTTAGTTTTTAGTATCTTTTTTTTTTGTTGCTGACTTTTGTTATTAGAAAGTAGTGCAAATTTTTACAGGCGTTTCCCTAAACTTCGCAGACGACGTCAACTAAGCAAAGCATCAGTAGGGGAAACAACAAACAAGCTTCTTGTAAACTCTGCAGATAGAGATTTCACCACACACCCTACTGACCCTGTAGAACTACGACGTCTCAACTACCAGACACCAGCCATGATCAACCATCCTCCAATTCCTGTGACTGAGCTAGCCAATCATATTGAACGATTGAAAGCCAGTGATAACCAGAAGTTCTCACAAGAATATGAGGTTAGTATTTTTATATAAACTAAGATCTTTAGTGTTATCTTTTAACATTCATAAAGTAAAAAAAGTAGAGTTTAGAGCACTACAGATGTAAATATCAAATGACCAATAACTCCAGAAGTCATGCCCAATATTTCATTATAGCAGCAAAATTCTGGACACGTATAATATTTTCTGGAGTTATTAGTTATTTTATATATACTATTATAGCTTTAGTATTAGATCAATACTAATTCTACTCAGGTGGGAAAGCTTTAAAAGTATTAGAACAAGTTACTGTACTTTACCTCAAGTATTATGTCTTCAAACAGTGCTTTCAGTTAGACTTAATTTAACCAATTAAGTTAGATTATAAATCACATTTTTTGTAGGACAATCATTTTAGTTTTTTTTATTGTGTGTAGAACTTCATCAAATCGTAACTACATCTAACTTATAAGTGTATACTAAACAATCACCCAAAGTACCACAGATAGTCATTGTATAACCTTAAGTGCTATCCATGATTTATCTAATTACTTTTAAATGTAAAAAATGGGGACGTGAGAAATAGATTCATATTGTTTTTTAACGAGAGGAATAATTGAATAGAGTTGTTTAAACATTTGTTTAACAACAAGCTGCCCAGTGTCGGCTAACAATACGAAGAATTAAATTGTGGCAAAATGCTACAAGTTCTTCAAATACCTATAGTATGATAGGTTTCTTTTTTGTGAGTGTAAAACACTTAAATACACCATTTCGTCCGAGAGGAATAGTTATATCTCAAAAAGTTACTTTTGAATGCAATAGTCATATTTAATTACCAAGTAACAGCACAATTAACATCCAAATTTCTCCTATAAACTGTACTTCTGTGTCATTGGTTTAGTTCATTTTATTCATTGTATATTGTGGCATTGTTTCAAAGAACTTTCTTTTGTGTTTTATATAATACATTTTGGGGTCCTTGTAAAAAGTAGCTTCAGTTTCTTATTAAAAAATGTAGTCTGCTATGTGTACAAAAAATTAACATATACAGTATACTGGAAGTAGTTGTGGATATGCACAACCAGTTCGTACACATACAAGAGGCACAAACAATGAGTAATCACAACTAAATACTCAATTTATTATTAGTAAAGTACAAAAGATACAAAATAAAACCAATACACTAATATTTTGTATTTACTTTTAACCAGAGCAGTACACCATAAATATATCAACGTATGATTGTGAAAAAGTGTTTCAAATGTCTTTTATTACTCCACATAATTCCAGTTTAGGATTTCTTCTTTGACCACCTTTATTATCAACAATATTAGTTTTATGAAACCCTCTTTAGGGTTTCTACAGAACTCCGACTAAAACGAGAAATTCTGCCTCAGTTCTGTATCCTTAATCAGCCAAAATTTGATTTCTACTTTTTTCTTGTACTATTTCTGTCCTTGGAGCCATGGGTGCATTCAACACACTACTGCTAAGAATAGTATGACTGCCTGTAGTCTTATAGGCATTATACTGATATGTTGCTGTCTGATTGGTTGGGTGACAGAAAATCATAATGTAAGCTACTAACACATGACTGTACTCTGATGCAGCTCATTTTCAGATGGGGAGTAATCCTGTATTGTGTTCATTATTTTCATAAAATTACTAATTTTATTCACTGTTTCCACAATTATTTCCAATACTGTATATATTTTGAATGGCACAAAGCACTGAAAACTGTACATATATCACTTGCCTTCACTGGATTGTTTTTCTTTATTCTCAGTCAATTGAACCTGGTCAACAGTTCACCTGGGAAAATTCCAACCTTGAAGTCAACAAACCCAAAAACCGTTATGCTAACGTCATAGCTTACGATCATAGTCGTGTTGTTCTACAGATTGTAGATGGTATTCCTGGAACAGACTACATTAATGCTAACTACTGTGATGGGTATAGGAAGCAGAATGCCTACATTGCCACACAAGGGCCACTTTCTGAGACTGTGGGAGATTTCTGGCGCATGGTTTGGGAGCAGCGAAGTGCCACTATAGTTATGATGACCAAATTGGAAGAAAGGACTCGTATTAAAGTAGGTGCTTCTCAACTATAGAGTACGTAGTATTTGTCTACTAGCTCAAATATAAACGTTTTATTAGGTCTTTCCTTAAAAAGCCTAAATAATTTCAGAGATCATAATTTCCCCACTGACATGGATCTTTTAAACTGAGAAATAAATGTTGTTACAGCTGAGAACATTAATGAATGGTTACTAATCCTATACTGACCACTGTTTAAACTTTACCCAATAATGCGAGGAATTGTTTAACTTTAATATATCGTTTATTTATCACATTTACAAACATACACACTTGAGAAACAGAAGAGTGAACAAATAAATCATTTGTTACCAAAAAACTATCATTCACTAAAAAAGCAAAAAAAAATATTTTGTTTTCTGCTGTTACATTTTGCCATGCTGCATAATAAAAAAACTTGCTATTCATGCAATGAAAGTACTACTAAGCTGTGCAGTAATTTTATTATTTTATATACTGATGACGTTATTTATTCATGCAATGAAAGTACTACTTAGCTGTGCAGTTATTTTATTCTTTTATTCACTGGTGACATTATTTATTCATGCAATGAAAGTACTACTAAGCTGTGCAGTTATTTTATTTACTGGTGATGTTATTTATTCATGCAATGAAAGTACTACTAAGCTGTGCAGTTATTTTATTTACTGGTGATGTTATTTATTCATGCAATGAAAGTACTACTAAGCTGTGTAGTTATTTTATTTACTGGTGACGTTATTTATTCATGCAATGAAAGTACTACTAAGCTGTGTAGTTATTTTATTTACTGGTGACATTATTTATTCATGCAATGAAAGTACTACTAAGGCGTGCAGTTATTTTATTATTTTATTTACTGGTGACGTTATTTATTCCTCAAAATTCAAATCTGCAAAAAAAAATAAGAAATATTTATATCAAAATTTAAATCAAATAATATATTCTTGCATGTAACAATCAGTTGTTTTTTGTATTTATTTGATTATCTAGTGAATTTGCCCAGAAAAATGCATAATTTACTTGCACAGTTGTTTTACTGATTGCAAATCTAGGAGCTTTCTCTTTTACAGTCATTGTCTTTAGAATAAAACAAAAAAACCTATATATGGATAAAATTAAAATGGAAAAACATATTACATCCACTTTACATATGATTGATGTATGTAGTTACTTTATGTGCAATTTGACAGGCCTGATGTTTTAGTGGCTTCCCTTAGTGCTTTTATAATCCATTCTTTCTTGATACCAAAATGTCAACATTAATAACTTGCATATTTGGTTTGTCTTTTAAGTAAGTTACATGGCTAAAATAGGTACCATTTCTAGTCAGGCCAGTAAAATTTAAAGTGTGACTATTTTCTAGGTTATGTACACACTTGAGAAATAGTTCCAGTAGAATTATTATATACAAACTGACATTGATGGAGCCACACTTTGGTCCCTGATAGATTATTACAAGCTTACAACAGGGGCTCTTAAAATATTATTAAACACAATTTCAGTTTTGTGTTGTCTTAGATTTTACAAGATCTAAACAATTTATGAATTTTTTAAACTTTATTGTTTTTGTTACAGTTTGAAAAGTTAAAACACAATTCAATGCAAATTTTTATCCCTTTGTCAGCTTTGTAGAAAATATCTTATATATGTAGACACACACACACATACACGAAGGAAATCTAATTTTAAAATATACCAGTTTGAAGCACCTGGTAGTAACTTTAAAATATGGCAATAACAATGATCCGAAGGATGAATTTCCAAAAAAGACACAAATGTAGGAAAGATATGTCTTCTTAAAATAAAGAATTCAATACCATTCTAAGAATTGGATTCATAACTTAGGAATGCCAAGTCCATTTCTTCTTTTTTTTTTAACAAAGAAAATGACTAAAATTTACAATGTTACTTTTCAGAGCCATCATGGAGTTAAAAAAGTGATAATATTATTTGTTGTATATCCAACTTTGTAATCTAACATAACAAAAAAACGTTTGAAGTTATTTGTTAACACTTAAGCTGTACTCACTCTGTAGTAGTGTGTGTTGTGATTTAAACATATTATTTACTTGTATTAAGTAACATACCACGAACAGGTAAGAACTTCAGTTTTGAGACATAATCAGCTTATATTAACCTAGTTAGATCATTTATAAAGAATATTCAAGGAAATTTTGCATCTTCGTGGGATTGTATGAAATGTGATGGAGATTTTGTCCCTGAGGAAACTTCAACTGCTTGATGCTATCTGGCTTTAAGGCTGGACATCCATGCATGTATTACCAGTTTATTTTGCAACTGTTTGATTATTTTTTCATATGTGAGTCTAAAAAAGTAACCCTCATCTCTTAGTGCAGTGTGTCTGTAACTGTAAAACAAAATGTTCCATTCATTTATCAACTGCTTGATGCTATCTGGCTTTAAGGCTGGACATCCATGCATGTATTACCAGTTTATTTTGCAACTGTTTGATTATTTTTTCATATGTGAGTCAAAAAAGTAACCCTCATCTCTTAGTGCAGTGTGTCTGTAACTGTAAAACAAAATGTTCCATTCATTTATAGAGAGTGCATTATCCTAGAAAACACACGTATCTGTTACGGTGTTTGTGTAGTCTTTTATTTTATCACCTCAAATAACTGGGTCTTTGCTAATGTATAACAATGCAGGTATCTACTCTAGGATATTTGTTTTTATTATGGGTCTGAAAAGTTTGGTTGTTGTATTTTTTCCTTTGAAAACAAATAAGTGATTTTTCGTTTATATTGCCCATATTAGATGCTATATATTTGTCTAGAAATATAATATTAATGTAATATTTTACCTAAAAAGATTTTTTCCTATGTACGTTAATCTTTATTTCAATGTTAAATGCATTTCAAGGCAACTAATGTGAGTAATGTATGATAAATCTGACAATTCACTCATTACAGTGTGACCAGTACTGGCCATTGAGAGGAACAGAGATGTATGGCATGATGAATGTTGGTCTTGTGGACATACAGGAGTTAGCAACATATTGTATACGAACTTTTGTTCTACATAAAGTGAGTAAAATTTAACAGTAATATAAAGATTCAGGAAACTTTCGTACTTTGATATTGTAGTGAAACCAAACACTGTAAAGTTTTCCATCTGTGTCTACTTTTATGTTTCAGGTCAATACTCGTATCATTTAAGGATACAACAGTTTTTACCTTCAGGTTTCACTTACTTAAAAAACTAATAGAATTAATTTTAAGAACTTTTTTTCTGCTCTACATTTTGCTCCTAGAAGCCACTTATAGATAAGGATTTTACTGTTATATTTTTAACTCATCATTGTCAGCATAAGGCTTTCTTTTCTTGAAAGGACTAAACTCCTCTAAACAATGAACAAGACAAACTGTTTCGCAGTCAATGATAAGATTACTTTAAATAAAATATAAGCGATGAATATATAAATTACACTGATCCTGTTCTTCTAATAGCTGGGTTACCCAGAGAAACGTGAAGTGAGACAGTTCCAGTTCACAGCGTGGCCAGATCACGGAGTACCAGAACATCCAAGTCCTTTCCTCACATTTCTCCAGAGAATCCATTCTCTGAATCCATCTGATGCTGGCCCTATTGTCATTCACTGTAGGTAAGATGATATGTTCATCTTTCACTGTACATAAGGTGGTATGTTCATCATCTATTGCAGGGAGAGTACGTGGTATGTTCATCATTTTCTGCAGCCAAGTAGGCTAATATGTTCGTCATTTACTGCAAGGAGGTAGGATATTTTATTCATTATCCATTAAGATTAACCTCCAATTTCTTTGTCACACAAGGCCAACTACTAGGTCATGTTTGATTTGTTTCAAGTTAAGCACAAAGCAACACAATGGACTATCTGTGCTCTGCCCACCACAGGTTTCAAAACCCAGATTCTAGCATTGTAAGTCCACAGACATACTGCTGTGCAACTTGTGGGCAATTTAGTCACGAGTAAGATGTCTTCAAGACTTACTTTAAACTCTAGTTCCATCCCTGAGCAGTTTTCTCCAGGTACAATCTCCATTAGTTCTTGGATGTGAGAGTATAAATTCTGGGCAGGTACCTCTGTGTTCCCTGAAAGCACAGCATCTAGAACTGCATCATGGATAAAAATGTACTGATCCTCTGTCTGGACCATGTAGTTTCTCTGAGCTCTGAGGCAGGTCACATGTCCATAGATGTCAACGGTGTTCTCGTACCGTAATCGTTCCAGCATGGAGTCAATCACTATGTAACAGCCTGTCCTACCAACTCCTGCACTACATAGTAATATTCAAACAGAATAAAGATAAACAAATAACAAATTACCTCAATCATTGCAAACAAAACACGGACCTCGACTTGTAGCCATAATATAACTTTTTATAATATGAAGCTTTAAATAAGCTTTACGCTATATAATTAGGCTTCTCTGTACAATAAATATTTAATTCCTTTATACTTTTCAAAACAGGTGTATTCCAAATACTTTCATTTAGCATGTGATTAAATGATGAACATGCCATGCATTTACCTGCAGTGGAAAATGTATTAGTCACATACTCACATTAAACATACTACACTACTTGTAGTAGAAAATGAGCATTCCACCCTATTCACCAAAAAGAGAGCATATATTGATGCAAAAATTAAGAATGAAATTTCTGCTTGTGTATATTTCTTAGAAAAATTCAAGACTGAGATATTAAGGACTTAAATGAAAAATATTATATCGTTTATATATGTATATAAAATAAAAACCAGGTTTTCTGCGTATATCTTTTTAATGCATTCCTTTTAATTTGTCCATTGTAAGTAGCACTTTGGACAGACTTGTAGCTGCTACTGCTCTGTCCTAGCTGATGAGCTCTGATAGTATTAAAAAAAAAAAAAGACTTCTTCTAGCAGAGAAAGTTAAAATAATATCTAGCACTTGACCGTTGATAAGCTGCTAGGCAGGCAACATATGAAAAATACAAATTCTGCATGTTTCAAAAAAATAAATATTTTCATGAAAATTACAAAGACTATAATCCTTGGTATTGTTCAAAACTTTCATGATATTTTTTTTTCAGATGTTCAACTAGAAAGATGCATTTGATGTACAGTTTTGAAAACAGAACTCTTTATATCAAATATATACACATACATATCTCTTTTTTTTTATTCCTAATGAATTATCTTGCTTTATCAGCCAGGGCATTATCTCCCCATGTTTTATTTATCCTAACAAAACTCAACCAACAGCATCTTCTCTATGATATTTATTATATATATAAAACTAGAATGATTATGTTTTATATAAAAATTGAATTGTAAGTTTGACAGAATGAATTATAAGTGATAGGTAAAAATAGTTGAAATCATATTGCAGGCTTTAAAGTTCATTATGTATGATGAATTTTTATCTCTTGTAACTGAAAATATTTTTAGTAGTCTGTAAACTGTAACAAAAGTGTTTTGTTTTTATTTACAGAGACTTTCTGCTGTAAAATCTCAGCCTAATAGATTTATTAGTGCCAATCTTCCAATAAACAAGTTTAAAAACAGACTCATGAATATTTTGCCGTGTGAGTAACGACCTTTCATAATTTTCTTCTGAGTAATGATGGCTTGATTTTTACATGAATTTGCATATTGAGTATAAAGGATTCATTATAATCAGTGAACTCTTTCTAAACAGTTGCATTCTATAGCGATGCTCCAAAATTATTTTTTCAGTATGTAATTTAAAGTAATTATAATGAAAATTATTTTGTTTTGGTTTTACCGTGTTAATATTTTCAGGTAAGTTATTTGTTTCTTACTTTAAATGGGTTCTTTTGCTGTACATTTTCAGATGAAGCCACACGAGTGTGCCTTCAACATATCAGAGGTGTAGATGGGTCTGATTACATCAATGCAAGCTTCATTGATGTAAGATATTGTTCCTGTTTTTGTTTTTTCTTTTATAAACAGTATAATAAATTAAAAAATAATTTATTTAGACACATGAAGATTTACATTGTTGATAAAATCAATTTTTAAAATTATTATAAATTACAAATTAGTATAATTCCATAGAATTTTCTAGAATGATAGATTGGAAAGTCTTTGCGATTTCATGTCAATTAAACAGCTAATTTTTGTTTAATGAAGTTAAGCTATTGATGAAATAAATTTAATGTAGTTAAACTATTAAGGAAATATGATAGATTTGAATCTTAAATATATTTCTTGAAAAATAGCATCTAATTAACTGAAAAATTATTTACTGTTTTTTTTTTATTTGTCAAAGGTGTTTTTTTTATGTTATAAATAAATTCAAAAACAACATCCTGAACATTCTTCATTTTCAGGGTTATAAGTACCGTAATGCTTACATAGCCACACAAGGTCCACTTCCTGAAACAACAGAGGACTTCTGGAGGATGTTGTGGGAACACAACTCCAACATCATAGTTATATTAACCAAACTCAAAGAAGTTGGCAGAGTAAGTTTTTCTTTTTGGTTCAACTCTCTTGAAAATAAAATATGATGTTCACAACTAAACTGTCCATACATCATCTTTACTGTTTGTCATGATTTTCTTTGCTTTTAGAAAGACCTATAAAGGAATGGAGTCAGTTTATCTGTGTTTGGATGTTTCTTTGTGTTTTTTTTATGTGTGTATTTTAGTATTTAATGTAATCTGTCCCTATGAAGTTTATATGTGCCCTACACTTTATAGGGTGTTATATTAGGAATAGAACTTGTTGGCTCAAATCTGGTATAACAGATGACACCTCCTGTTTATTGTAATATAGGTAACCTATATTTAGTTGGGCATACCTGTGTTCAAGTTATACAAGTATTACCAACAAGAAAAAATGTCTGTAACATTTTAAAACATGAATATTACCCTTTGGAAATTATATTGAAATATATTGTAAGTAAAATTTTCTCCTACAGATATTAAATTAATTACATGCATCGGTTTTAAGTTTCATTGAAAATAGTGTCAAGTAAAACATGACTATAATTTTGACTCTATTCTCAACTATTCAGGAAAGATGTCATCAGTACTGGCCCAGTGAAAGATCCCAGCGGTACTTGTACTTTGTAGTTGATCCTATTACAGAGTACAACATGCCACAATATATCCTGAGAGAGTTTAAAGTAACAGATGCAAGGGTATTGTATCATAATCCTTCTGTCAAAATTGTATGTGATTTTATTATTACTAAAAAAAACATGAAGATATAATGCTTAGTGCCCAAAATCATTAAAAAATAGTCTTTTGAATCTTATTTTCATGTTTTAGCTTTGAAAGGGCATTTTTTTAATAAATATTAAATTCATTTCTTGCTTTGATTTATCATTTTATAAAGGTATTTGTTGGTTATTTTGTTTAAATAAAGAATTCCTCTTTCAGAGTTTTTTCTATATGAAATATTCCCCTTGTTTCTTTGTTTTTCCTAATCTGAAACTCTTCTATTCATGTGCTTTAGCAATTAATATTGGCCAATGAATCAAGATGTTAATAAACTTGTGAATTTAATCAAGAGAACATTTAAAGACTTAAGAAGTGTTATACAATATAACTTCTAAAGTGTTTTGAAAAAATTAACATTGGTATACTACTGAATTAGTTATCTTCTTCAAAAGTGTACAACAATAAAATAAGTAATATAAGATTAGTAAGAAAACTAGTGAATAACAAAGGAATAGCATGAAATCAACAGATTAAGTAATATTGGCAAAAAACATTATAGGATCAAAAAGGTTAGGAGAGGATAAGTATTCTAAAACTAGCAGCAAAGTGGATTTTTACAGTGCTCCTAACATTTCAAATCTTGTTAGTTCAAGTAATTCTTAAAGATGCAGGTAAAAACAATAAGCTGGTGTATGTTGTTAAAGGTTAATATTCAACTTTTGGAAAACATATTTTTAAGACAAGTGTTCTCACTCTTAGCTTCAAAACAGGTGTTTAAAATGTGTGTATTCTTACTTGTATTTGTAAAAAAGGATTTCAGTAATTAATACATGTTTTATCAGTTTTTTTCACTTTAAAGTAAACCTAATCTTTCACAATTCTCCTGCACACAACTAGGATGGGCAATCTCGGACCATTAGACAATTTCACTTCACAGAGTGGCCAGAGCAGGGAGTCCCTAAGTCAGGAGAAGGATTTATTGATTTTATAGGTCAAGTACACAAGACCAAAGAGCAGTTTGGTCAGGAGGGTCCCATTACAGTGCACTGTAGGTAAGAAAAGGGATTATTTACAATAATAGATTAAGATTAATGGAGAAAATACCAACATAATAGCAATAATCAAATTTCAGTTCTGTAGCTGCATTGTTCAACCAATTAATATTAACTTCTAATCAAAGCAGACTACCTGTATAGATCAGAACTAAGAATATATAATTGGTACTTGATATACTGAACAAAGAAATCTACAGATGGCTTTCTACTGTACAAACAATCTTGGCAAAATGTTATGCATCAGCAAAGACAAAATCGAAAAGTACAGCAACCGTGGTGTTTACAATTAACGTGTCAAGACTGCAATAATGTATAAACGGGTAAAACAGAACATTGCATAGAAACAGCAATTAAAGAACATTCTAGAAGCTGGAAATTAAGAAAAATAGATTCAACCTTTGTATTCAACCTTATTTAAACTAAACACCAATTTGATTGAGAAAAAACTGCAAAATTGTACACATAAAAAAAGGTAAAAAAAGCTAGATAGTCTGAAAATTTTAGAATAATTATGAAGTCTAAAAACAAATCCAGAAAAGTTCTAAATGACCAAACCAACTTAAACTCCTCCCCCACTTGTCTCAAGATGAATGTCAAGGTTACTTCTGGTTCTTTGGTTAAACATCTATTGGTGAAGGCCCGACTTTTACAAATCATTGATAAGTAATTAGTGTGTAAATATTACAGAAGTTTGAAATTAATGCTGAAGCCATTTACTCTAATATGAATAATAGGATATGAATCGGTAGAATGTTATAATTTAGTCATATCACTTCAGTACATTTCCTTGAGTTATCTAAGTAAATATTTACCCAAGATGTAAATATAATAACCAGATTGAAGGGGTATTTGTCTTTAATACATATTAAGTACAGGCCATGAATATGGAAAAGTCATAGAAATTTGCAAAAAGGTGGTCAAAAAAATATTGAAAAATATCAATAACCCTAGAAAAAGTATGGAAAAACTTTTTAAGCCTCCTTCTATCTCAAAACATATATGTGTACACAAACCATGCTTAGCTGTGAGAGTTATTGGTATATTCTAATATAGAATCTAATATGATAGATTAGACTAAATGTTGTTGTAAATAGAAAGGCTACTCTTTATTTTCTATCATAAAGCTGCATTGTTTAAGTTTGTAGATATCTTATTTTTTCTGTGGTCTGAAATAAGTATGCTGTGAACTTTTCATTACCCTTTATAACAAGGTAAAATGGTGTTAATTAGGTAGAATTATGAAGGAAAGTTGAAATATCAGTCTCAAATGTATACATGTTCTGTTATGAAAAATATGGAAAACTAGAGAAAATAATTTTAGAAAGAATTTGTTCACTTTGAACTAAACTGTTTGGTTACTGATTATTCTTATAGCTTAAACTTGGTTTCTCCTTCAAGATGTCATACAACAATGAAGTTCATGATATTAAGAAAATATTTGTTTATATCATGCAAATATAGAAATAAAACTACATTAAATATATCCATTTAAGTTTTGCTTATAACCATGAGTGAGTACATATTAAGTTTTATTTAATTAGATGTGTGTAAAAAACTCAAACATGGTGAAACAAAAAGACTATTTTCGGATGACTCAGGGGAAAAGACAGTTTAACTATAAATGAAGATCCAGAGACACAGAAATTTTAATTTTCCATGTATTCAAACCTCATGTTATTATATGTTCTTACATGTTAAATAATACCTTTACATATGTTTAAGTAGATGTCCTCTTTCCTTTTTAATGAATAGATGGCTATTTGCTGTTTATCACTTACATGGTTTTGCCAGTGTTAGGCTTAACTTCTCCAGTTACATAATCCACATTTTGTTTTTTAATATTATAGTTCTATTCACTGTTAGAATAAGTTTCTGTCAGTTTTTCTTCTGGATCATACTGTTTTAATACACTAGTTCTTATTGTTCAAATTGGGGCTTGGCATGGTCTGGTTATTCGAGATCCATCTCTTGCAATATGCACATCACAGGTTCAAATTCAGTTACCAAACATGCTTGCCCTTTCAGCCATGTGTGAATTATAATGTGACAATAAATCCCACTTTTCACTGGTAAAAGAGTAACCCAACGGTTGGCATTGTGTGGTGTTGACTAGCTGTCTTCTCTCTAGTTTATCACTTATAAATTAGGGACAACTAGCACAGATAACCCTTGAATAGCTTCCCAGTGGCTCTGTAATAAGTCTGAAAGCTTATAACACTAAAAACCAGGTTTAAATAACTGTTGTGGGCACAGAACAGGTAGCCCTTTGTGTAACAAACAAAAAGCCCTGAAGGAAGTTTGCATGTAATTCAACAAACAGAAGATAATAATCTTTTTCTTCTTTTTTCTATTTTGCTCAAGTAAAATTATTTTTAAATAATTTATAGAAAATTTATCTTTCTTCTTCTCTGATTGACTTTAGTGCTGGAGTTGGCAGAACAGGTGTGTTCATCAGCCTTAGTATAGTCTTAGAAAGAATGCAAGATGAAGGGGTCGTTGACATATTTCAGACTGTTAGGACATTACGAACACAGAGACCAGGGATGGTTCAAACTGAGGTAAAGTATAGACTGTTGGTACAGTAATAATTTCTATGAATTAATGTGGAAAGTTAACATTTTATACCTGTTGAAGGTGATTTGATAGTAATTAACACTCACACTTAATGGCACCACCTACAAAGTCTATATTTATGGCATTACTTTATCGCTGATGTAATATCCTTTCTTCTGTTATTACAAAGGCTTAATTTATACACTTAAAGGTTTATTAGTTATTTATTCTCCTATTAACATTTAGTACTATAAGTTAGTTTTATTTTGGTTTATAATAATTAACACATTGTACCAATAATATAAAATTTTCAACTAAGCTACAACAACCCTTTACTTGTGACACTTTATTCATTAAAAATAGAATACATAACTTAATAAGTCAAAGTTTTAAAAATGATTTTAATTTGGAAATTAAAGTGTTAATGAAAAATGCATTAAAAAAACAGTCCTCAGTGAGCCCTGCCATACACCTCATTCTGTACTAATAAGTTCATTTGTTAATATGCCACCTTTTATTTGATACATTTTCATCACTCCCCTCCAAACAAAAAGATTAGGGAGGTACAGCAATGTATAGCAACATATAGTTTCCAATCAATATTTAAACTTCCCTATGGGATGTGGAAAAATACTATTAACTGAGTGGTTAAAGGTGAAGATTAATATTTCAAAATTAGAATTTTGGTATCTGTGCAAAAGAAAACATACCCATGAAATACACAAACACAATATTTATCAGCTTACCGAAACAGGACCAAAAAAACATTATGGTTGATTGAGGTCAACCATTCTATATATGCTATTTTTAAAATTGTTTAAAAAAATTACAGCAGATCCTATTGATATAACACTCAGTCTGCAAGTCAGTTGGTGGGCTACAGAAGGTTGTCATGGTTTCTGATATTTAAGTAAGAACCCTAAAAAATGTTTTCCAATAAATTACTTGATCTTTAAAACTAAAAAAACAATGCTTTACTGCCAAAAGAACTCGCCTCTCAATAGTGTTCTTCCATGAAGACACAAAGCTTAGGAGGTTTGCCATACTGTGTTTCTCTGGCACAAAGCAGTAGAAGTGTTCATGTTTAAGCAGATCTCACACTTAACTACCTTATGGCAGCAAGTTTGCTTTGTTGAGTCTTCCTAAGCAATCTTTATCTCAACAGAACTTGCAAAAACCATAGAGGAAACTGCTTTATCAAGCTGAGGAAATGGGTCTTGTGGGGGCACTGTAGTGTTTTCTGTGGAATTTTGAATTGAGGTTTGGGTTTCACTGCATATATCCTGAAAACTAGTGTGAATTCAGTGATGCTGGTGGCCAATCCACATCTCAGATATCACAAGGACTGTAAATCTCTATTCATAATTTTCAAAAAGATAATATCATAAAATTGTATTTATGAATCAATCCAAACATGTCTCACAGACTGGGTGTTAGATAATCTAAGTGAAATATTTCAAGATATTGATTCATAAAATCAATCAAAACAATAAATAATTGTTTATGTTTTCTTTTCACATATTCACTCAATCTCATTGTCAAGAGGTTTTGTATATATTAATGCAATATTTCAGTATTCATCATTTTAAGAGAAAGTCCTCTGTGTATCTCCTTCAGATCTTGATGGATTTTCATGTCAATATAGTTTATATTATAGAACTGTACTAGATTGCTTAGGGACCTGAATTATTTCAATACCATGTTTAGTTGAATCAATTTAACCAAAAATATCAGGTTTTTCTTATTTAGGACTTATACAGAATATGTTAGTCCTTTTCTACAACTAGCAGAAACAGTGCCCTACTGGAGGCTATTACTCATCATAGTATTCATACCTCATTGGAAAAAATGTAGAAAATATAAACATTTTCTAAAAAAGTATTTTTTTCTGGAAAGTACTGCACGGAAATGTATTCACATTGTGCTCTTTTAGTCATACTCAACTTATTGCATCAAAATGATTCAATGTACAAAGATTAAAATTTTCATAAATTGTAATGTTTTTACATATTAAAAGTGCTACCCTTTATTGAAAAAATATTTTGTTTTTAAAAATTTCAGTTTTTTAGCACTACATTTCAAAATTGCATCAATAAAAATATAATCAAACCCTCACATACAATCTCAGTAAAAATCACATTCTTGTTGTGAGGAGAGTACTTTTATTTAAAATTGTGTTCTGTTATAAATAAATGGTTGTTATACATACCATAGTTATTTTTCAAATTGTGTGAATCTTACCCAAAGTGTGAAATATTTTTATGGAGTTTTGTTTGTGGTGCCATGCAATAGATGGGGCTATATTTCATAAGCCTCAATCTCTACTTCTGGCATTGAGATCTTGTTGTATTTTAGCACAACAGATAACTCCATTGTATTTACTACTTCAGTCACATAGATATATAGACGGCCATGCCATTTCTCCATTAGAGTAAGATACCATTTTATGTATCTGAAAATAAAAAATATATTTTGTTTTTAACATAAAGTTTATTATAGTGTTTCTTTAGAGTACATTGTTTATGTACATTAAATTAACATAAGTATATGTTCTTTTCAGGATCAGTACAGATTTTGTTATAGTGCTGGACTAGAATACCTTGGTTCTTTTGATCACTATACAAACTAGTGATGCTCAACAAAAGGTTCTCAATACGCACTACTTGTTTTGATAAACTTGATAGATTGGGGAAAACATATTACCTTGTATGGTTTCGTGGAGAGAGCTAGGACCCATATTCAGTTTCTCAGATCCTGGAAGGCTTATGTTTGTTGTTTATAACAGCATAGTGTACGTGGTGTTTCCGTGGTAAAAATATATAGGCAAACTAAAAAGCAAAGCATCATAATACTTATTTGATATCACTTGGTGGCCTTCACCTGAAACTATATTGTATTTCTTTACCCATCCCCTCTCAGTTTTAGGTATGTTTATGGGTATGACATATATCTTGTTGAATCATAACTGTGGATAGTTAAAGACATTCCATGATACAAACAGTAGCAGTTTATTATCAACAGTGGTAATACACAAGAAAAGAACACTGCGACCAAGATGCTAAGAGAGTGAATAAAGTAGTGATTTTGTTTAATAAAGAGATAGGCAGTCAAGAAATGACAAATTGCTAAAACATCATTCAGATAACAAAACCGGCATATCTTAGTGAAGATCCTAGGAAGGAGAAGACACATTAATAGGCAAGAAAAGAAGTCATTCTTAACAAAGAAGGAAGGAAGGAAATAATGCGAGATTAAAGAACAAGAGAAGAATGGCCTAATAGGAAGTGGGATGTAGAAATCAAGAAAAAGATACAATACTAGATAAGAACCATAAAATAAGGGAAGATACTCCATAGCAAACAAGAAAAAAAAGCATCTTAGAAGAGAGGTGAAGAAAAAGTATACATTGGTAAACAAATAATAAAATGTTAAAATAGAGGGGCACAAAGTTTACAGGAAGAGACAAGTTATGTATATAGACAATAACACAAGTCCAAGTGAAATACCTAACAAAAAGAAATTAGGAATAAATTATATTATTGTTACACAGTAAACTAAATCAGAAATAAAAGTATTAATAACTGCCTGCTCAAGCTAGACCTCTACTAGAAGTAGTATTCAAATAGGTGAACAGGATTTATTCTGTCTTTTTCTTTTTGTAGTTATTATGACTTGGAGTTTTATCTGCCAAATTCCAGATCACTTGTTTATATACTTTCCTCCATTTATAGTGTTTTTTGTATGGAAATAGCGTCTGTACCAGTATTTGTGTGTTTATGCTGAAACATATATCATTAAATTAAAGTATTAGAAAAATTTTGAATCTCAGACTATAGGAATAACAAAGTGGGGCAGTGCTAATATTAAGCATGTCACTGCTACTTGTACAGTTGCTACTGTAGACAGTCACAAAATGCAATAATATTCATAGACTTGAAAATTTATGATATTTCTCAGATGTCTTCAGTCTAAATAAAACACTTTCTACAAATCATAATAATCATCCCACGTGACTGAAAATATCGAGAAACTTATTAATTTTTCAATTCGTAATTAGAAAATTTCAGACTTGGGAATATCATCCATGACTTTTTTGTTTATTAGTTGCTTTAGTTACTTGTTTTAATTTTTATGTATTGGGTATGCACATTCTTTTGCTGTAAAATAAAATATTACATGTTTTAAATTGTGTCTTAGTAAGGTCTGAAATAATTGTTTTGTTTTTTATTATCACATCTTTCTTCATAAATATTATACTACAACTTAAAATATTAATTTTATATATCAAGCTTAGTGAATATAAGAAATCAGTAAAAAAACTCCCACAATTACCTGACAATATTTCTGAAGATTAAAGAAACATTTCAAAATTTGCAAAGGGGGGGGGGGGCTTGTAACTTGAATATGAAAGTAAAAAGAATGGCATAAGTATTACCAGAAGTTATATTTGATGCTAATAATGGTAGTACAGGGTTCTTCTGAAGTTTTTGTTGTGTAGTCAAACATCAGTAATTTATTACCAGTATTATTTGTCCCAGAACAGTAATTATAAATGAGACCACGGGGAAGACTAATCTTTGATCAACAAATATTATCACCAGATAATATCTGCTCAATGTAGGTTTCTATAATTGTTAAACGTGTCCAGAGCCTGTTTAAGAAGCCTGTGAATATATATATATAACTACTTTAACATCATTTTTTAATTCATATTGATACCGAGGTTGACAAGATAGTCCATTGTGTGGCTTTGTGCTAAAACAAACAAATGAATTTGAAATTATTGTTCTTAAAGAAAAATTAATAATAAATAACATGATTCAGTGAATTACTTCGTAAAGAAAAAAAAGAGACATTAAAAACTATAATAAGAAACTAACAAGACGATGATGTAATAATTATAGGTTGGTTACTTGAAATGCACTGGTTGTATCTATTTATCACAGTGTGGTTGACGCAGTTTATAGTTATCTCGCACATTAGTAGAGTATTATGTTTTTTATTTCCACTCTTGTACATATCAATATTTTTTTCGCATTCCTTTGAAATAATGGATTTGCATATTGAGACAAAGCTGGAGCGTAACAAACTTAAACATTTTATTATTGAAAGAGAATAAAAAAAAAGAGATATCATAAAGTGTTTATATATTTCCCGAGAGTAAAACAGTAAAAGATTCAAACTTATTGCAGTTCTTACGCCCACGACGAGGGTCTAGATTTAAAAAGTACAGATATCTTACTTGAGTCTAGTAAGAAATTTGGAGCCACATTCTTATTACTTTAGTACGTTATTGCTTGTGCTTAAAATTTAGGAACAATTATTATCCATACAGGTTTGTAATTTTGATATTTTTATACTTTTATAAAGGATCCAAGTTCAGGATTTATCTACTGCAAAATTCGGTTATTTACACGTACATTACCATATGTTTAGAAATAATGATATCTTGCCTTTATGAAAAATTTAGTGTAGTCATGGTAATTTTTATAGACATTTTCATTGGTTAAGTTCTAATTTCCAGTTTGAATTAATAATAAAATAGCCCCCCAGTGGCATAGTGGTATGTCTGCGGACTTACACGCTAGAATCCGGGTTTCGATACCCGTGGTGGGCAGACCAAAGATAGCCCATTGTGAAGCTTTGGGCTTAATTACAAATCAACAATAATAAAATAATCAAACTGTACACTTTTTCACAGGAAATGAAAATGCATTAGTTTTAAGTTTTACCAAAGCATGCTACTAAAGGTATAGGCTAGCCCATAAATATTTAACTACTCAATGCATATAAATAAATATATGAACTTTAATATACATATTTTACGATGTGTTCACCCTTATATTCCCATCTGATGGTTGCCATTACCATTAAAAATTTTATAGTTTCCCGATGAAATATTACACTGATGGTTAATTTGAGATTTCGCTTTAAAACCAAAACTGAAAGAATTGTTGGTTTTGACAACTAAATGTTTAACTTCGAGACCAGATCGTGCAGTTTTTTTTTAAAGTTATAAATACAAGATTTATAAAGCAAATTTAATTGTGACTCGTAATCGTATATCATTGTCTTTCGCATCGGAGATACAACTTTAAGAAACTGCCAATATTACATTTAGCTAATTTCTCTCAGACAATTATTGAGTGTGTTTATGCTTAAGTTTTGTTTTTTCTCACTGCTCAGTTTTAGTGAAGAAGGATTAGATAATTTTTGTGGTGTATTTTTCCTTTTTAGAAATAGTCCCTCGTTATTATATGAAAAGGAATTACAAGTTGTGAGGCCCGGCATGGCCAGGTGGTTAGGGCGCTCAACTCTAAATCTGCGGGTCGCAGGTTCGAATCTCCGTCACACCAAATATGCTCGCCCTTTCAGCCGTGTGGGCGTTATAAAGTGACGGTCAATCCCACTATTCGTTGGTAAAAGAGTAGCCCATGAGTTGGTGGTGGGTGGTGATGACTAGCTGCCTTTCCTCTAGTCTTACACCGCTAAAGCAGGGACGGCTAGCGCAGATAGCCCTCGTGCAGCTTTGCGCGAAATTCAAAAAACAAACAAAACAAGTTGTGAAAACTGCTTTTTGAAAAACAAAGAAATCTAGATTAATCACAGAAATGGATATGAATAATGCCAACAGAGGTTTTGTTCAGTATCATTACTTCTAAATCAAGATGTACCCGTAGATCTTTGTGTATATTTATTAGAGAGAAACATGCAGTGGCGGCTCGTCAGGTGAGCACTGCCTCCTAGAATTTCTATGTCCCTAATCTAAACCAAACCTTTTTTTCTGTCACTAGTGATGTTTTAGTTGCAGTAGTCTATGTAATCAAAAACTCGCGACTTAATATTTCTGCATATGGAAACAGTAAATGTTTTCAGAGAACACTGAGCGTGCCAGAATGACCTGCTGCCGTAGCGACAGGAGAACTTGTCAAGACAAGTTATAGATTTCTTAAAACGAGGAAATGAGAAACGGGCTCTGAAAAGACGAGATATCGCGTTGAATTCTGTTAGTTGAAAATATAGTGGTATACGGCATGTGCCTCATCTGTCCAAAAAATAAGGTCAGTAGCCGCCTCTTGCTGATTGTTGTATTAACAACTTCATTGTGTAATAGATAATATGTCTTAGACCTCACGGTCCATCAGCTCTGTTGTTTTACTCCTGTAATTCAGTTTTCTCGTTATTTTCTTTCGCATACTCTGTGATGAGTGTATTTTTCTCTGTGTATGAATGGGCAATCTTTTATTAAAATTCATTGCCCCAATCATATGTATAGTTGTTTTTCTAAGTAAAATAAATTTATCTAGTTGTAAGCAAGTACAACATTTGTTAATAACGATATTAAAATTCATTTCTCTCGGTACCAAGCAGTTACATAACCAATAACACACTGCGTTGATACTGTTGCGTCATCGAGGTCACGTGACTGGTGTGGCGCCACCTATTTTCTAGAACTATCCTGTACCTTGGCGAATGCTCTAGTATTTACTAGATATAGGGTAGTCTGGTATATAAAAGAGGGTGACAACGTGACGGGGGAATAATGTGTGTGTAGATAGTGAGTAATTGAACTGCAGTCACAGGGTATTGTTGAAGTTAACGTTCGTTCGTTATAGCGTTTGTTTACCGCGATTGTTGAAGTTGAGTGTATCGGTAAAGTTATATTCGGAAAGAATAAACCAGTTTTATTAAGAAAGGACTTGTGTCGCTTAAGTTTCGTCGGAACGAAGTTACGGAAAATCAATTAACAAACGGAGACGTAACAATACAATACCGAAGTTACGTTATTTTACTTTGTATTTGTCTTCAACGTAAATTTTGATACAAACGGTTCGTGTATCAATACCTAATACAGTTTGAAAGTAAGCTAAACAAATGATAAAAAATACCACAGACCAAATATGAATTTTTACTACACGGACATTATTTAAAAAAAAGAAACGAAAAGGCTAATGAAAATACTAGAAATGATCTATACTGTATATCATTATGCAAACATTAGATCAAACTATTTGCTGTGTAATACCCTCAACATTAAAGTAAAAAGTATTTAAACTATTGATTATTTCTTAATATCAAGAATAATTTTACTTTTTATTCGTGATTAACAAAATAAAGATGTGCCAAAGGTTTATAAAGTTGGTATGTGTAATAGTCTTATTAAATAAATCTTTTACATTACGTTACATCAATGTTTAAAGCCCCATACCTATCTTTATGAAAGTTGATTAATTTTCATGTCACTTCTTCAAGTTCGCTGCAACAAACCAAGGACCAGTATCCTCGTCATTTCAAAAA